AAAAAAACAATGAAATTAGTTTTTTAGTATAATTTTATTTTAAATTATGTTTAATAATTAATTTAATGAGATGGTTGAAATTGCATGTATTATTAACCAGCCTCAAAATTCGCGGGTGAGATTTTGTTAACGCCAACCTCATGTCATTCTCAACATTTAATTTATTCCTCTCAAAACTCTCAACACATGTTTCAACCAACTGTGACAGAATAGCGTACCCAGATTACACTTATTTTAATTTTTTAAAAATATATGAAATTATTCAAACTTTAAGACACCATTAAAAATAAATATTGCATAGTGAAAATTTTGTTTTAGTTTTCTGCATAAGTTGGCGACCCCACAGAAACCCGTCGTGACCCCCTTCTGGGTCGCGACCCATAGGTTGGGAACCCGTGATCTAGAACATGTTTTTCAAGAAGCCAGCTGCCAAAAAACAAAGGATGGAACAAGAGGAGTTGACCCTGCAAGCTCCGGTAGCCTCTCCTGAATCTGACTCCGATTAAAAACAATAAAAAGAGACCTGCTGCAATGTGTAAAAAGTCTGTATCTGTATGAATGTGTGAAGAAAGTGTTCCTCCACCTCCTCCTCAACATCTGACTACCCAGCATAATTGGTGACTGCTCCATTTTCATTTTTTTATGGTACAGTATGGTTATTTTATGCTGCGGAACGAATTATATATTTTAACATGTATTTCTATGGGAAAATACATTTCGTATAATGGATTTTCACTTAACAGATGTGCACCTGGAATGGATTAAGTATGTTATACGAGGCATTACTGTAATTTACAATAGGTTTAAATCTCCAGTGAACAAAAATCTTAAGTTACTCATAGCATTCATATTTCCTTTACAAATGTAAAATTTCCTTTATATAGAATGTGCATAAATTCAATGCTCAGCTCAATCTTGCATCAAAACAGTGTCTAATTATGTTGAAAAATGAATACACATGATTAAAATAATCAGCTTTTAAAAATAGCAAAAATGATTTAACATTATCTTCTCTCTTTTCAAACCAATTTAACCTGCCATTACTTGAGGGTAAGCGCAGTGTTCACCTTTTGCTTTAAAACATATATATCTCAGGCTTATTGGAAGTTTTATGGCCAAATTCTAGTTTATTTTCCTTCCCAAGTATACCCTTCAACAAGATACCAGAATTGGAAATAATAGTTATTGCTAATGCTTTCAGTGCCACTTTTGTTTCAGTCATGTTGGACAAGTTACATGGCACTCATTCGTGAGTAATTTTGTGTCTTTTTTTCACATTTGAAGTAGTATGATTCTATTTGTGAAGTGATATTGTATATACATACTATATTAACTTGATGAAATATTTCTGAAATGACTTGATGAAAAGTATGAGAAAGAAAATGTCGGCTTCTTCCTCTCAGACGAGTGATAATCTATGTATAAAAATCCTAAAAGTATTGAGAAAGAAACCAAATCCTCCACAGGCAACATCAGTATCAAGAGAAAAGTGTGCATAGTGCCCAAAAAAGAATAGGAAAACAGCATCCAAGAGTATAACATGTAGCCTACTGCACCAATCTGCAGATATCACATAACAACAATCTGCAAACAATGCTACTTTAAAAATCCAGACTAAGGGTGTCCAACCCGTGGCCCAAGGCAAGTTCCAATGCAGCCCAATAAATGTGTAAACAAAACCAAAAAATTAAAAAAAAATTTTTTATTTATTTAATTCAAGGCATAAACTCAAAAAAGAAGTTTCACAAAGCCATGAACCTTTATTCATATTTTATTTTTGAGTGGAAAGGAAATATTTTCAAATACTTGGAGACATGTGAATGAGGAAGGATTACTAAATAAAGCTGGAGTTGTGACTCAAAGGATTATAGACCCAAATTTGGGGAAAGGAAGAAAAGGAGAGAAAGGACAAAAGATAAAAAGTAGTGAGAAAGGTTAAATAGATCTTCTATTATGCAAATATTAACCCTTAATTTTCCAATCTTCCTCACTTCTTTATCTTTTGTCCTTTCTCTCCTTTCCCTGCATTTGGGTCTATAATCCTTTAAGTCACAACTCCAGCTTTATTTAGTATTCTTTCCAGCATTGCAAGATTTGGCTACATTGTACCAAATGTGGCTACATATTATTTATAAATATATTACTTGAATAAAAATGCACTTTAAAATGGTGTTTTGTCACTTTTTATTAATTAAAGNAAAAAGAAGTTTCACAAAGCCGTAAACCTTTATTCATATTTTATTTTTGAGTGGAAAGAAAATATTTTCAAATACTTGAAAATGTGTGAATGAGGAAGGATTACTAAATAAAGCTGGAGTTGTGACTCAAAGGATTATAGACCCAAACTTGGGGAAAGGAGGGAAAGGAGAGAAAGGACAAAAGATAAAAAGTAGTGAGAAAGGTTAAATAGATCTTCTGTTATGCAAATATTAACTCTTAATTTTCCAACCTTCCTCACTTCTTTATCTTTTGTCCTTTCTCTCCTTTCCCCGCATTTGGCTCTATAATCCTTTAAGTCACAACTCCAGCTTCATTTAGTATTTCTTCCAGCATTGCAAGATTTGGCTACATTGCGCCAAATGTGGCTACATATTATTTATAAATATATTACTTGAATAAAAATGCACTTTAAAATGGTGTTTTGTCACTTTTTATTAATTAAAGACTCAAATAAAACAAATATTTGTGTTTTTCAAATAAATTTTCGTTTGTCTCTTTTATAATAAATGAATTTATCTATTTCTAAGTCTCCATTTATCAGTACACCTTTATTCTCCCAGTTCATTGATTGAAAAACACCTTCTAATACATTTGTAAAAAGTTTTGGGGAGATAGTATCACCTTTTAATATCGTTGGTATCTTGAAGCAAGCGAACTTTTGTGCTTGCCCCAAATGGAGACCATCTGACCCATCTGTAACCATCATTACAGATAGCCCTTCAGAGCTCCAGGACATGATTCAAGGAAATAAACAGAAGTGTAAAACTTGGCTGGAGTGCTTTTGGTAGGAATAGTATAGTCTTGAAAAATCAACAGATGCCCCTGTGCCTGAAATGCAAGGTTTTTGATCAGTGTGTCTTATGTTCTCACTTATGGATCAGAAACTTGGACTCTTAGAAAATCAGAGATCCAAAGACTATAGATTATCCGAAGGAAGATGGAAAGGTGTATGCTTGGCATAACAAGGAGAGATCAGAAACGTATAACATGGATCAGGAAAATGATAGGAGTTACTGCTATCATCGCTAGAGTAAAATCCCTCAAGTGGCAGTGGACTGGACATATTGCAAGAAGAACTGACCATCGTTGGACATCTGAAGTTCTTGATTGGATACCAAGAGATCGAAAACGACCAAGAAGATGTCCTCACACTTGGTGGGTTAATTAGATCAAGAAGCATCTTGGCACAATATGGAAGCGAAGTGCTCAAAACAAAAGATTGTGAAAGAGGCTTGGGGAGACCTTCATTTTGCAGTGGATTGATAACGGTTGATGATTTTACGTAAAAATTGAAAGTGTCTGTAAAAGTAATTTTTTAAAATATCCTTTTTCGTGATAAAGTTTTAATACTTATTATTATAATCTAGACATGTTAATCCTTAAATATACTTGTATATTGAGCCACAAGTATAGTCTATATTATATATACTTGTGGCCCAAAACTCCTTCACTTCTTCCAATGCAGCCCAGAGAAACAAAAAGGTTGGACACCCCTGATCTAGACTAAACAGATTCAGAACTTGAATAAACATTATAACTAAGTTTAACAATAATTTCAGATACCATATTTCTGTTTTTATTGATCTGATCAGATATCAATTTTCTATTTCTATATCAAAATTACTTTTAATATATTCTAACTAAAGTAAGGTAAACATTAAATGTGTACTAAAAATGTATACTCTCATCTAAGTAAAATTTCTCAAGACAAATCACTAAGAATATGAAAATATTTAGGATGAGTGCGGTGCTCAGCCTCGAGTAATGGTGTTACATATTCGACTGCAAGAAATGCCAGATTAATAAAAACAGAAACCATATTTATCAAATAAACCTTGTAATATTTTTTAAGCTCAATTTTTTAAAATAAATTAAATTACTTTACATTATAAATTTTATACAAACCTGCTTTTCTTAATTCTGCCAATTTTTCTTTCCTGCACTCCTTTTTCCTTTTTCTTCTGGCTTTTTTTGCTTCTATTATTCTCTTGTGTCTTCTGATTTTCCGTTCTACATTTTTCTAAATTGTAAAATGAAAGCCTATTAGAAAGAAATTTGAATTATTTAAGGGTGTGTTACTTTTAAAAATTTTACCGAAACATTATTTTGACCTTCACAATCTACATCTTCATTTCTTCCTAATTCAATATGCTTTCTGTAACAACTATTTCCTTTACTATTGATAGAAAAAATAAAAACAACATTTTAAAAATTATTTATTCACATTTATTTTAGAAAAAAATTCAATTGCACCATAGTTTGGTTTCAAGATATAATCTAATCAGATATTATATTTTCAATACAAATAAGAAAAATACAGGATTATTAGGATAGAGATTAAATTACAATAAAGCCTGAATAATCTGAATTAATAAATGGAAGGAGTTATTTCAAATATTAAGTTATGGATATTTAATAATATAAATTGATAATTAGATGTGTATAAATTATAAGTAAAGACTCATCAAAAGCTAGAATTTCTTATAGCAAACAAGAGACCACATTCCTTACTCTTACAAACAATTTTATTATAATGCAAACATTTTGAGCAGTTTGAAACACTCAGTTTACTGTTCAAAAACCCGAATCAAGCTCCTAAACGAGGCTGAAAAAATGTTACAGGTATACCTCGAGTTACGTCGTTCTCGATTATATGTCGTTTGTCAAAAAATATATGGAAAAATAAAAATCAAGTGTCATTTTATTTGACTTTATGTCCATCCACCACAAATATTAAAGTCATAATATCACTAGAAAAGCATTAAAGCACATAAAATCATATTAAAATATGTACATTTACAGTAAATGTTAATATATTCATCATAAATCCTAGAGAACAAAACACGAAAACATCAGTGTTTCTGTGGTCTTTAAGTGCTCGATTTTGGTGTTTTCCATGGTAGCTTCAATATCTACCGTTTGGCGTCATCGTCAGCGCCACTTGATATTAGTAAATTTAATATAAATTAGTTTATTTTCTACTGTCACAAGATAATTTTAATAACTGTATTTGTTATTTAACTTTACAAAATCATCTTATTTTATGATGTCTTAGAGCAAACTACATTCATAAATAAAGAGTCCGCAATGTACTATAAACAGTGCCAAATTGTAAACATGTACATTTACAAGTATGTACTGTACATACAGTATATGAATTCGTAAATTTCGATTACTTTTTTCCTGTACTATATCAAAAATTAAAATTTATTTGTTTGTAAGCTTAAAATAGATTCTTATTAATCATACATTATTAAAAATGCATTTATAAATAAAATACAGAACTGAGAATGGTTATTTGTGGTTTAGCCTAGAGACAAGTAAATTCGACTTACGTCGTTTTTCGACTTAAGTCGCCTCTCCTGGAACCAATTACTGACGTAAGGCGAGGTATATCTGTATAATAAAATTGTTTGCTGAAAAAAGTAAGGAAGGTGGTCTCTTGTTTGTATAAATTATAATATTTTATATTACACAATGATTTAATCCATAAAAAATGATAATTTCATAATCTGAATTTTCAAATTTATATCACTCAAAACTAATACACTACAGTTTGCATCATTCTAAATCTGAACATGCATCATTAGGTAGATAGATAGGTCTAGCCATCTAATGACATCTTATTGAAAGAAAAATTTTTTCTGTTTTTTGTAATGACCAAAATTAAGTTTTAATCTTTCTATAAATGAATTGTAACAACACTTAGTAGATTTTATTTTTTAATTTCATTGAATTGGCTATGTTTAAATAAAATTAACAATAACACATAGCATAATTTGTTTAAAACTGAAGAATGAATAATATTTCTAAAGAAATTACATAAATAAATAATACAATGTATAAAAGTTTAAAAAAAATGTTCATTTTTAATTACATTTAGACATATTCAGTTAGAAAAGAAATTCAACTAACTGAAAGTTGTGTTTACTTTGAACATTTTTTTTCATATAACAGATTGTGCATTATTCAAATGGTATAGCCCTTGAACTCTTGAATAAAGGTTAGAAGATAGAATATGGAAAAATGAGAGAAGGGAAGACGATGGCTAAATGACAGAAAATGATAAGCCCTGTGTAAATGTCCCATAAAGGCCAAGTTAACAAAAGATTTACATAATGTTTATATTTATTCTTCTACAATTGAATCTTTGAACCAACAGTTATATATAGTTAAACAAATAATATTAGATAGTGGCTTTAAAGAGGCTATTATTAATTTAAAGTTAGAAATTTATTATATTTATTGTATGTTCTTTGGAACTTAGCATAAAGGAACACTCCTTTTGATGGAAGATATAGATTTATTTTCTATAATTTACAATGGATATGCATTTCAAGCATTATGCCCTTCTTCAGTCCTTATTTTATTATGTACATCAATAAAACTAAAAATAATTATAGTGACAACTAAAATAACTAATAATTAAAACTGTGGGGTAAAACAAATAAAACTGTAGAAATAAAATTATTTTGCTTAAAACACATAAAACTGGTTATTATATTCATGTATTGTACTAAACTGAATCCATATAAAAATAATTTAAAAAGTTTTCCCCCAATTCTAGTAACATTTGTAGGAAATCTAAGCTAAAATTATTAAAAATTGTAAATAAATATTCTTTCAACTTGCCCATAGATTTATTGCTAATACTATGTAGGATATTGCAAATGATAGAAATCTGTAGCATTTAGAATCTGCCCTGTATAAAATCCTTTAAAAATTTAGAAAAACATTTTTTCCTACAGTATATAAATGACACAAAAGAGCATTAAAAAAATAGGTAAATTGAACACAAGACAGATTGAATTCAACAAAAGAATCATTCAGTTAGCTAAATTAGTTTAAGAAGAAAATTTTATTCTGGTTTGAAATACAATTAAAAAATTTTGTTTTCTTCAATTAACATTAAATGTTTATTTTTAGTTTAATTGATTACAATTTATAAGATCCCTGCAATATCTTACAAATATCTGAAATTTAGAAATGTATTTTAAAATTTCCTTTTTTTTCATGTTTAGTAGTACCTGTATATGTTTTATTTATGTATACATTGTATATTAAAGCATTTTTAATGAATGACTTTTTTTACTATTGAATAGTTCTTAAAATTAAATTTATAATATTTCCACAATGAAATTAGTATTTAAATAGTTGAATTCTATTCTGACTGAATATTCTTCAAATGTTCTGAATATTGTACTGAAAGTTGTGTGAATGCCTTGAATGTTTGAATGTGTATTGTCAATATAATGTAATTCTTTTAGTAAAATCAAATTAATTTATACTTTACAAGAAAAATAGAGAGACAATCAAAATTAGATTACCTGTCTGTAACTACTCTCGGTCGAGAATGGCATAACCAAATAGGTAAATCATAATCTCTATTTCTTTTTTGAAAATATTCCTTATCATCATCATCATCATCACCGTTGTCATCATTATCATTTATTAATAATTTACAATCTTTATCATTTATTTGATTTAAATTATTTTTATCATTAAAATCAATACTATTCAATAACTTTCCTACTGATTCAATATTTTCATTAGTACATGAAGTGATTCTTGATAATAAGTTCTCTTTCATTTTATTGCTCACATCTCGAAACTCTGTAAAGCTATGTGACACAGCCAATTCATTTTGAAGAATAGGATATTCTTCTAAACTATACATAAAAAAAAAAATAATTATGTTCAAATTTAAATAATAATCTATTCAGAAAGATGTAAAATATATATAAATAAATTATTGCATAAAATTAGAATTTTATGCAATATATGAAGTTTATACAGAAGGTCAATTCCTTTCCATGTGAATGAATTTACTAACCTCTCAGTTTATGACCTCCAACAGGGTTCGAGAGTCAAAGTATAAAATACTAAAATTAAAACCAATCACAAAAGATGTTGACTTTCAATAAGCATGGTTTCTGTTATTACATTAAAAAACATTAAAATATTAAAACCAAATAATTGCCAGATTATATCAAGCTATATTACTACTACTACTACTACTACTACTATTAATTAAATTTTAAGCAATTTGGCACTAGAAGCAGGCATTAGCTGTCATCGCTTGCTATTATGCTTTTAATAATTAATTTAGAAGGTTTTGAAAGAAAAGAATTGGCCCAAAGCGGGACCCGAATCCACAACTCCCACTTACCATGTGGTTATGTTGCCAGTCACTACTTGGATCTTCGTCCAGGTAGCATAACTGGCTTTGATATAATCCAGTAAACATTTGGCTTTAATATATAACTATCAGGTTTGGATGTGTATAATTGTAACTTATGTAAATGGTCAAATATCTTTATACAGTAGTCTCTCGAAAACTTGGCACTCAATAACCCGGCAGTCCGGATAACTCGGCCACACCCTGGCACGGCAAAAAAACCCTTAGTTAATTAATTTTCATTATAGACAGCTTTATGCCTCAAAGTATTTTTCTGAGGTCTGTCTTATCAGGTAAATTACTGTACACAGTGTATTCATTAATTTTCATTTTCATGTAGTAAAGGTTCTATGCCTTCATAAAGGACGTACTTTTCCTTTGTTTAAGGGTATTTGGGCAGTTTATTCTCTGTTGTATTCTCAAGTAAACAATACATACAAGTACAGTACAGTATTTTCTGAGGAAACACTCAAATTTTTTAAACCCCATTCCCGATAACCCGGCATTTTCACAAACTCGGCCACCCTTCTGTCCACATTAGGCCGAGTTTTCGAGAGACTACTGTATTACATATTAAACTGATAAATATTATTCATGATAATATTCTATACACATACACAATTATAATTTTATAATTTATAAATTATTGTTATACTGTAGAATTTTCTAATTTTAACCAATTAAAAATTATAATACGCAAAGCAAATAAATTAAATTCAAAATCTTTTGAATAATCTGTTTCAGTCTAAATAAATGAAATTAATTTTTATTGAATTATTAAAATTATGAAAAATATTAGGTTGTTCAGATAGTAAGTTTGTTTTTTTTTACCACTAGACGGATTAGCCGTAGTTTTTCCGCCATTTTCATTCTAAACCATATTATCATTATATATTTTGACAGCTAGCATTTTAAGGCTTATTTGTAAAAAATTTTGTTTGATTTCATGCAATTGTTTATTTTTTACGTCTCATCAAATATTGAAGATCAAAAGCAGCATTTTCGACATATTTTGCTCTTTTATTACTGAAAAGGTAAGAACACTGTTCAAGCAAGTAAAAAATTGTGTGACATGTATGGAGATGTATTGACAGAACAACAGTGCCAAAACTGATTTACAAAATTTCGTTCTGACAATTTCAATATTGAAGATGCACCATGTTTTGGATGGCCAATTGAAGCAATGAAAACAAAATAAAGGTACTGATTGAAGCAAACTGCTGAATAACAACACGTGAAATCACTGAGATTAAATTTGTCAAATTGAACTGTTTATGATTACTTGAAACAAATTGGTTTTGTTTCAAAGCTTGATATATGAGTTCCACATGTTCTTAAAGAGAGATGCTCTCTTTGGTGGGATTTTAAGAAAATTTTTTTCTTTTTTGGAGCTTTTACCAGACAATTTAACAATTGATTCAAAAGTGTACTGCCATTGAGTAAACAAATTGAGTAATATCATCAAACAGAAAAGGCATCAACAAAACAGGTGTAGTGTTTTACCACGATAATGTCAAATTTCACACAAGTTTGGTAACTCGTCAGAAACTGTTATAACTTAGATGGGACGTGCTGTCACACCAACCATATTCACCAGATTGAGCACACTCAGGTTATTATTTGTTCCGGTCTATACAAATTTTTTTAACTGTAAGACATTTACTTGAAATGACAATGTCAAAAATCACTTGGATCAGTTTTTGTAAGCAACAATCAAAACTTTTATGAATGTGAAATCATGCTACTACCAGAAATGATGATAACAGGTATTTGACCAAAATGGTCAATGTATAATTCAATAAAATATTTTATTTATTATAAAAATATTGTATTTTTTTTTCCAAGGAAAAAATGACTTTCCGAACAACCCAATAATATTATTAGTAATATTATTCAATAAAGAATTCTTCCAGATAAGTTACTTTCTTAAGTAATACTCATAAAATTCACAATTACCTGTGTTGCATTAGTCTAAAAAGATGAGTACGAACATGCTTAAGACGTGTATTATGATATTCGGCAAGATCTAAATATTCTTCTACCATCTGCCATACATAGGGATTGGTACCAGTAAACAGAGCAGGATTATGAAGTATACCTTCTACAAAGAAATTAAATAACAATTGTAATTGTGCTAATTTAATAAAATTGTCTCATGTGATGTAATCATTAACTCAGACCTACAGTAATTGGAGGGCCGAAATTAAAATAGGCTAAATTTGAGTCACTGGTAGGTTTTTAGCAGCTCACTTTACAAGTAAAGGTATAATTAATGATTAAACTATTTTGCAAATGAATCATATAAAAAAGAGAAATTTCAATTAATATCAATTAATCACTTATTACTTAAGATTTTTATCACGAAATCACATTAATGCACTCATTACATCTTTACTTTCTTTTATATTGTTTACATTTTTGTTGGCTGCCTGAAATCGTTTGGTGAACTGGAAGTGGGCCATATGTTGTGCAAGCCTGTTCTAATTAGATACAACTTATTATTAAAAGCTAATTTCTTTCCCTGTTATAAATTTAAACATAGTTTAAATTCTAGATATTAATAATAATTTTTTTATCAATAGTAACTTTTAACAGATATACTTATATGTAGTAGAATCAAAAATAAACCAAATTTATACTACTAATGTAATAAAGGTTATATTAAAAGTTTTATTTATCAACTAGCCTTTAATCCCTTTTTATATATACAGTAGAGCATCGATTATCCGACTCAATTGGGGACTCGGGTTGGTCGGATAACTGAAAAATCGGATAACCAAAAATAATGAAAAAAATACATTATTAGTATAGTATATTAGTATATCCCATGTAATTAGTATATTGCTATTAACCAATTTCACGTTGAATTTTCATCGATGTTAAGCCTAACAAATTTTTTTAAAATAATAATTGTCGCTATTATATCGTTAAAAATTATTTTAAAATTATTTTATTGCTCACAAAACAAACAACCATTCATAATTAGAAAAATAAGTCTCGTTTAAATACTGGCCTTCCTTCAATGGGCGAGCCAGTGTTGCTAAAACACGCAAAAATTTAACAAAAATAATATTAAAGTAGCCAAGACATAGCCAAATATTGTAGTGCCACATCACTAGCGGACATTTGAAATTTGCCAACTAGAACGGTCGGTTAACCGATGTGACAGTTAATTGGGGGTCGGATAATCGATGCTCTACTGTAATACAATATACTTTCTATAAATACATAGTGCATAATTTTATTGAAGGGTATCACAAATTGAAACCATTATTGCCTTATATGCCTCCAAAAATGCATTTCAACCCTGGTGTTAATTAGTCCTCATCAGTTATCATATTGGTATTCATATGTTATATACCAGGTTGTTCAATAAGTTTTGTCGTTCGATAAGAGGTGGCACTATTAGGAGTGTCACTTTATTAATCTATAAATAGTACTACTATTTCATAAACATGTGTCAAGTTTCAAGTAGATCTGTCAACTCATTGTATATTTGCAGCTGTTCAAAGTCAACGTGTCATTGTATTTTTTTACAATGGAAAAAATCGAATATCGTGCAGTGATAAAATTCTTATTTTTGGAAGGTGTAGCACCAAAACAAATTCATGAATGATTGACGATTGTTAAAAGTGTATAAGGACTCTTCACCTTCAATCAGAACAGTAGAAAGATGGGTTGCTGAATTTAAACGTGGTCGTACGAGTCTTGAAGACAATCCACATGAACGGCGTCCAAAAAGTGCATCAACACCAGAAATCGTAGCAAAAATACAGCATATGGTTTTGGAAGATCGTCGATTAACTGAGAGAGATTTAGTAGAAGCCCTAGGGATTTCGTTAGGCAGCGTGAGCAATATTTTGGCTGAAGTTTTGGGTTACAGAAAGCTGTGTGCACAATGGGTGCCGCATTCGCTAACTATGGAACAAAAACACATTCGAATGCAACTTTCTCAGCAACATTTGGAGCGTTTTAGAAAAGATAAAAAGGATTTTGTGCGTCATTTCATCACTATGGATGAGACATGGGTCTACCACCATGATTCTGAATCAAAACAAGAGGCTAAGGAGTGGTGTGAACCTGGTACTTCGGCTCTGAAGTGTGTTAGGGTCCAGAAATTGGCCAAGAAGGTGTTAGCATCAGTTTTTTGGGATGCAAAAGGAATTTTGTTTGTGGATTACCTCCAAACTGGTAAAACAATAAACTCAGATTATTATTGTAACCTTTTGGACCAGCTAGATGTAAAAATTTGTGAGAAAAGACCTGGTTTAAAAAAGAAAAAAATCATTTTTCATCAAGACAACGCCCCCTCTCACACAGCTCAAAAAACCATTGCAAAAATCAGTAAATTAAAATATGAATTGTTGCAACATCTTCCCTATTCGCCAGATTTAGCTCCCTCTGACTTCTGGCTGTTCTCACATCTAAAAAAATTCATGCGTGGGAAACAATTTTCATCAAACGAAGAGGTAATAGCAGCGTATTTCGACAGTCTTCCGGATTCTCACTTTAGGGATGGAATCCATAAATTAGAAGATCACTGGAATAAGTGTATTGAAGTTCAGGGAGATTACATTGAATAATAAAATGTATTTCAAACCATAAAATCGTGTTTTTCTTATCGAACGACAAAACTTATTGAACAACTGGTATAAGGCAAAAAATATTTAACAATGTTACAATACTCATACATTCATAAACTACATATCCTTAAAATAATAATAATAAAATGATAAAAACCAATAACAAATATAATATTCAGATCATAAGCTAGCTTTCAGCAGCTTTTTTGCCTTATATATAAGGCAAAAAGGCTTGATGTCATTACTTTCATTCATTATTTTGTTCAAAAAGGCTTGATGTCCTTACTTTCATCCATTGTTTCTCACCTCCTGAGGTGAGAAACAATGAATGAAAGTAATGACAGAAAGGACAGTGCAGAATGTGTATGGTTAAGGAAAAGAACACAGGAAAAAATGATTTTATTATGGAAAAAAAACGGCTGAAATATTGTGTACAAGTATAAAAAAAGTGTTTGTGCTTCATTACGCTTGTTTGAAAGAAAGCTCACTTAGGAGGGAAATATTTTCTACTTTGACGAATGGTGTGTAAAGATGCTAACAGATGTAGGTGCAGGAGAAGCTTATTTTGAAGATAGTGAAGGGTAAAAATTTCTGTGTCATGTAATAAAACCTGTTGTCTTTATTCTACTTATTAACTGATGATAAACAAATACTGCAAATTAAATAAACCATATTTTATCACAGGTTCTCTGAATCATATGCAAAAAATTATTATTTTACTTAACTATTACTTTCAATTCAAATACAGATCAGATCAGATCAGATCCAAAAAAAGAATGGATCTGACAATGATTTGTATTTGGATTGAAGATCAAATAAAATAATATTTTCCTGTTTTAAAAGGTACTGTGGCCCTCTTCTTATCATACTCCTATTAATAAGTTTAATAAGTTATACAATAATAATAATAACTCCTCCTCTCTCACAAGTCACCATCTTGTCAAGGTGAAAGAGCTTAATAGTTCTAATGAACTATAGAGTAATGCCAGCAGGAGACAAGTTTTAGTAGGACCATCCATGCCAGTAAAGTCTGTGGAGAGAAATAAAGAAAAAGAGTGACCCACAAGCAGCTTCTCATACAGAGTGGGTTGCTGCTAAACAGTGTGTTCTTCAATGAAGAACACACTGCTAATCTATAAATACTTGTCACATGTTCACAGCATGATACCTACTTGGACATCACCTGACTTAACAAAATCCACTTGTGGGTTAAACAGAGGCTCACATTCAAAAAATCTGCCACAGTCTCTCTTGGCCACCAAATGTAGCAAATGTAACACCAGCTTAAGTATAGCTACTACGTCAAACATATTTGCCACCTCATTCAACACACAATACATATACCAGAATCACACAGACAGAACTGCATAAAAACTGCTGGCTGGACTCATGGATGTCTCTCTTTGAAGAGATAGCAGGGTTTATTATGATTGCCATACAAGACCAGACAATAAATTCAAGAAATTACAGATAGCACATCTTAAAAGACAACACTCACAGACAACATTTGTAGGAAATACCAAATCATACACTAGACTCATCATAGACTACATCATATCAGGTTGAAAGCTTTTAGTATGAACTAATCACTTACATCAACATAACCAAATAGCAACTACAACACATCAAAAGCTTGCACACACCCAGAAACCAAACAAGTACACACCTCAGACAGTCATAGAAAACAACACAAAATATACTATGACTAAACCATAATCATAGAAGAAACATACATTCACGATAGACCAGATGCCACATTCATTGACAAACAAAACAAAATTACATACTATGTATGTAATTTTGTTTTGTTAATTTTGTAATGTGAGATCCGAAAGGCCCTGGGTCTAATTTGTGAATTTTTATTAAATATGTTTAAATATCGACACAAAATATTACTTCGATTTGTGAAAAAAAATATTGTTTTAGACGTGGGAAAAACCAGATAACAAATGTTATTTCCTTTCATCGAAGAGAACATCCTCTGTTTTTCCGTATCTGGTTAAAAATCTCGCTCAGATGGGAAATGGTTACCCCTCATTCATCCCCCTCTCGTCCGTTCTCACGAAAGAGTTACTGGACAATGATTGGACGAAAATTTTGAAATAAAAGGGGAAATTAGTCAGAATTCGAGGAGTTCTTCGACAGATCCGAAGCATCCAAACTCCACGCAGTTTTCCTCCTGATGGCCAACGCCCAAAACGGAGTCCGATAGACTAAGTCCCGAGTCTACACTTAGAAGAAGTGATATTTTTATATTTTGTGCACGAATTGATCTCCCATACGAAAGTAATATGAACTCTATCTACAAGGTGTCCTATACCTACAGAAACGAAGACGACGACAACTAACAGGTCGTATGTTTAGAATCATTTTGTGAGCTCTCTCTCTCGATCGCGCATTAGCATAGATTAAGTCGTAGCCTCTAGTTTGTCGCTAAATGGTTGTAATCGAAATTTTTGTATTCGTTTGTTTGAGATTTATTAAATTTACTCTTGTTTTATTTTATAAGAATGTCTCCTCAATTTATTCCGAATCAGATCGCAAACGCGTGTTAATCCGCGTATAATAAGTTTGATTAACTGGTGTCAAGGAATCCTGACGTAGATCCGAATCTCGCGATTTGGATCATTATTAAAAGCCCTCCTATAAGAACTTTTAGGATCGGATCTCTCGATCTGAAACCTGGAGAACTAGTTTTACCAACTGGGTGCCGAATAAGTGGTACAAACAATCCTCCTCGGATTAGTACCCCCGGCTGATCTCACAATAATAGACACAACTGTAGCAAGTACTCACAACATACAAAATACATGTGCTGAAAAAATTAATAAATACGCAGAACTCACCCATGAAATAAAGTATCTGTGAAGAAAGGATAAGGTACAAGTACTTATTGTACCAATAGTTCTTTCTTGCACAGACATCATACCACATACACAACAGAGAGATTAACAAAAGCACATATATAACACTTCTGAAGGTTGCCATAAATACATGTCATAGTTAGGAAAAAAAACACAGATACATACACAAACAGCACATAAACAAAATATTTTTTTCTGTAGTTATGCCATAGGCACTGTATATACGCCATGTAGGAAACATTCTAATAACACAATAATAATAATTATTATTGTAATTTAATTTATTTGAAATAATCAAACTTACCAGCAGACATTACTCCTTCCACTCCAGTATAATCTAAACACTTTTGAATATCTTCATAACTTAGTATGTTTCCATTGGCAAAAATAGGTATAGATACACCTTCCTTTATTGCTTTAATAACTTGCCAAGAAGCAATACCTGTTAAATCACCCTTCTGATCTCTAGTTCTTCCATGTACAGCAAGTAATGAAGATCCAGCTTCTTCTAGCATTCTGTTTAAATGTATTATAAATTACTATCAAATGCTATAAAATACTGATAAGAAATATTAAAACAATGTCAGTTTGTAATTAAATTATAAGTCACAATGAAATCTCTATTATAAGCTATCATCGATTTTTAGTCACATTTTCTCAGAATATAGGTTATTATGGAAGTCACTTATATATCATCTTCAACATGATACATAAAAAAATGATTAAATAAACTCATTAGCTTGTGCTCTAACATTTTAATATATGCACATTTATATATATACATACAGTCTTTAACAATTAGCCATACATTTATATAAAATATCAATAAAAAGAAAACTTTACTTGTTTGACCAATATCTTTTTCCTGCATTTCTTGAGATAATTTTAAGTAATGAGATGGGAAATTGACATTTTCATTAAATATAGTAATAACTCTTAAGATTACTAATTCTTATTTATAAAAACTTGAATAGATGAATATCTGTACAGAAATTACAGATATTCTGTTGATAACTATTGCCACCCACAAGAACTATGCTTTTTCTTTTATTATATAAAGTCAATTTCTCAATAACATACTGAAAAAGTAATATCAATACTAACAAGAACTTTATCTACACCTTTAAACTTCATCTAATATCCAGACTGATGAAAAAATGTATTTTCATGATTGAAAAATATCACCATCATAGATTTCAGCATGTTAACAGAAAGCATTGATAAAATATATCAATTTGCTATTAAAATATTGTTATGAATATGAATTGACTGACTGAACAGATTGATTATGAACTATATATAACTACAGATGATATGGCATACTATGTTATGCTAAATTTTACAGATGGTGGTGGTGTGTAGTGTATCAAAGCCAAAAGATTGCCAAATTATATCGGGCTGTATTACTACTACTATTATTAATTAAATACTAAATAATTTGGCACCAGAGGCAGGCATTAGCCACTATATCTTGCTAACTTTAATAATTATAATTAAATTAATATTTTAATAATTAATTTAGAAAGTTCTGAAAGTAAAGAATTGGTCCAAAGTGAGACTGAAACCTGCAACTCTATCATATTCTGCAGTTGCATTGCCAGTTACACTATCTGAACCTTCATCCAATCCTCACCTCTAGAACTACTACAGTGTTCCCCGAAAATAAGACTGGGTCTTATATTAATTTTTGCTCCAAAAGACACATTAAATCTTATTTTCAGGGGATGTCTTGTCCAAAGGCACTGTCTTGGATATTCACAAATATTTAATTATATTTTAATACTTAAAATAAATGATAATATAATGTCAATAATAATATTTATTTATATTTAATTATATATTATTACTTTATAATTCAATACAGCTATCGTGGGTTGCATTGGATGTATTAAATATGACTATTTGGCTGACAATCTTAACTGGGACTTATTTTAGGGGTAGTGCTTATATTACGAGCATCCTGAAAAATCATGTTAGGGCTTATTTTCCATTTAGGTTTTAGGTTTTATTTTCAGGAAAATGCAATGCTATTATTATTATTAATTAAATGGTTATATCTAAATTATAGGTTCTGGAAGCTGTAATTTGGATATAACCATACTCTGTTACCACAGTTATTAAAATATTAATTTAAATTAATTATAATTATTAAAGTTAGCAAAATATAGTGGCTAATGCCTGCCTTTAGTGCCAATTATTCAGTATTTAATTAATAATAGTGGTATTAGTAATAGTAGCCTGATATAGTCTGGCAATCATTTGGCTTTCATATATAACTATTGGGTTTAAGATGTTTATATTTGTATAGTGTATCATAAGACAAAAATAAATTTGTTCTTTGATACAATGAAATTTGATATTCCATATCTTCCAAAATATTTATTAACTACTTTTTATAATTTCAGTTGTGATATTGTAAGGGGAAACCTGACTTCTTTTCATTCTTGATTATTTTTGTTTAGTTACATTTATTTTGGGAATTGTTTTTTAATTTATGGGGACTACTTTACACTCTTGACCAGAAAGACAAAAAATTCTAAAAGTTACCATCCACAGTTTGTCTACCTGAAGAATATTATCAACCATGTAACCTCCAACTTCCAAAAAAAAAAAAATTTCAAAACAAACCAAATAACACTAATTTATTTTTTCAATAAACGGGTGTTAAAGAATTGTTAGGAGTAGAGTAGCTTCCAGTAGGGAACATGAAAAGTATTGGTCTATGAAACTATGCAAATGAGATAGGCAGCAATTTTTTTGTTATATTAAAAGGGTATAAATTAATGAGTACTTAGTGGAAGGGTTTTCCTAGCCTTGCTAGATGTTTGGTTAACATTCTGTATTGTGAGAAACTGTTGAATCTTTGTTTAATTGATTATCATTTAACCCTGCTCGATAATAACCATTTTGTTGTAGCAATAAAGCAGTATCGATTTAACTAATCATCATCATTAATATTGGTTTTTGTAAACTTTTGCCATTAAACCTTATTACTGTTACTAGCACTATTAATTCTTGTTTTTTTGGTATTTCAACTGCAGTTTTTTTAACACAACTGGATTTTTTCCTCAATGCAGCCATATCTGCATGCTATAAACTGTAATGTAAAGCATTATCAAGGGATTAGAGTCATAGTGTTTAAGTGTGTTCATGTGAGTAAGACTGAACCTTACAGTATCTCTCAACAAGAAAAATTATTTCTATTAACTGGAATAATTATGATTTGAATATAATAATCATTTCTTCTTAATTAAGTGAATGGATCTCTCTCATATTAATTTCTATCCATCACACTTATTATCTTTGCTCCATGCATACTTTGAGTTCATTTTAATCAAAGTTTATTGTTTGACAAATGTAATATCTTATTACATAATTTTCAATGTCATTATTCATTTAAAATTAGTAAAATTTCTGTATAACTTTTATATTATTTTTCTATGTTAGATAATAGTAAATATATATATCTCAAAACATGATAAGTACATTAGATCAAAACTTTTCAAACAAATTTAAATCATTTTTCCTTAACTAATTTTGAATTTAATTACCATTTCAAAAGAAGATTGTATATTTTTCAACTTTATATATATACATACATACCACAAAGCCATCAAAATATATGACACACAGACATCCAATACAAGATCTCACACTTGACTTAGTGGGCCCATTTTGCCATTTGTTTTTGCAAATAAATGTTTTATACTGTTATATAATTTAAATGTTATATTAATTATACTGTATGTGTTTTTGCAAAAAAAAACACATACAGTATAATTTTCTTTTTTTATTAATAAAAAACAGTTTTAAAATTTTTACTTATTATTAGAAAAAGAACTACAGTAGAGCATCGATTATCCGACCCCCAATTAACCGTCACATTGGTTAACCGACCGTTTTACTTGTCAAATTTCAAATGTCCGCTAGTGATGTGGTACTACAATATTTGGCTATGTCTTGGCTACTTTAATATTATTTTTGTTAAATTTTTAAGTGTTTTAGCTGGCAATACGGCTCGACCATTAAAGGGCGGTCAATATTTAAACGAGACTTAATTTTCTACTTATGAGTGGTTGTTTGTTTTGTGAGCAATAAAATAATTTAAAAATAATTTTTAACGATACAATAACGACAATTATTATTTAAAAAAAAAATTTGTTAGGCTTAACATTGATGAAAATTCAATACGAAATTGGTTAATAGCAATATACTAATATACTATACTAATAATGTATTTTTTTCGGTTATCCGATTTTTCAGTTATCCGACCAACCTGAGTCCCCAATTGAGTTGGATAATCGATGCTCTACTGTATAAAGAATTTATAGAGATAGGTACCATTATGGACCCCTAAATTTTTTTCAGGCCTGGATTCCAGATTTATATATACCAGGTTGTCAAAAGGGAAAGCCCTTTTGACCAGGACTGTGGAGTCGGAGTCAGAAAAAATGTGTCGACTCCAACTCCCACATTTTAAATTTACTTTAGTTATTTTATTTAAATGAAAGAAAATTTATTATATATTTATTAATTTTTTAAAATCTTTTTGTATTTTGTTATAATTCATTTATTTTAAATACAAAATGTATCAATTTAATTTATTAAATATGTAGTGTTCTTTGTAGTATTTGTGTTTAGCAGTTAAATTATTTTGACCCAATTGAATTTAAATATTTTTGAATTATTCTTTTATTATCCCCTGCTCTAAATAAGTACTCTATTTTTCTGAATGAGTCAGACTAATTGATCAGAGTGTATATTTTTCTTTTCTGAACGAGGGGCTTAAGTAGCTAGATCGTACACTTTTTAGTTTGACTAACTCTTCTGGAAGGGTGAAATTGAAGTGCGAATGCTGTTGAATATATATGTAGATGTAGAATTTTATTGCCCCCTTTCTCATCTTATTAAATATTTGTTAAAGATTAAATTTTTTATGCAAATAAATATTAATGTAAGTTAAATAAAAATACTAACTATAAAAGTATTTTGGTAAATGCCCCAAGCTCCTTTCAGAGTTCAGGGTAGGGTGCCCCCATATAATGATTTAGTATTTAATTTTGCTGGAGTCATGAGTTGGAGTCAGCCTACTAAAATTATCAGGAGTCAGAGTTGGAGTTGAGTGTTTTTTTTTACCGACTCTGCAGCCCTGCTTTTGACAACCTGGTATATAAAATTCAAAAGATAATTTATATATTTCTTTTATTTGTTATTAGTTTTGTTGTAATATTTATCAGATGTGTTATTTGGAGAAGGTAGTTTTCTGTTTGTCAGAACATTAACAATTTGTAATTTTTGTATTAAAAAAATAATAATAGCAATATTCAAAATAAATAACAATTTCAGCTATATTTGATATAAAAATTAATTTAATTTTCATATTAATTTTCATTCAATATAAAACAATGGCATAGAAATGAAATGAGGATTTTTGAGTGATTGTTTAATTGATACCAGCAGATAGTACATTTAAAAGATATTTAACTTCTCATTTTATCTGACCATTTCACCATTTCATCAATGAAAATTTTAAAACTGAGTAGAATAATACATCTAGAGTTTAACTAAAATCTATATTTGGAAGTTGCTATTATGGAATGAAATTTATCGACCAAATTATATAGTAATATTAAAAATTACCAAATAAATTATTTAATTTCTAGATACAAATAAAACCACAAAGTCATGGCCGAGCGGTCAAGGTGGCAGCCTATTGCTCTGGGGGACCCAGGATCAAATCCAAACTGGTCAAAAAACCTCCAGGAATTTTTGGGGTGGTCCATCCTGATATGTTGGCCTCCGTCCCTCACCACCCGGCCGCCCCATTGCGGGCCTGGCCAAACCCATAATGGGCTCGCTAAAAGAGATCCCTTAGTGACCACAGGGCGGAAAGAGTTAAAAAAAAAAAAAAACCACAAAGTCATTAATTCATTAACCATCAAATAAAAACTACATAATCATTCTTTTAAAAAACAGACNTTTATGTTAGGCGGTTAAATGTACAGGAAAACAAGTAAATTAAGTGCATTTGACGTGGCATTATCGATTCATTTATATTGTTATACGTCACGCTCCATATAACTCTTTAAAACGCAGCTATTCAAATTGATATATATATATATATATATATATATATATACATATATACATATACATATATACAGTATATACTACATCAGCAAGAAAAAAAAATTAGAAAATAAAAGTAAAAAATTGAAATTTATAGATGTGTACATTATAAAATAATACCATTTTATTGTTATTTCATCACACAATAAATTACTTTTTATTGTTATTAGAGGTTTGTTTCGTATCGTGTCCTCAAATCTCGAATTTCATCCACTTCTAATTAGCTTTAAGGATATATTTAAGTCCAAGACAATGCTTTTTGACGATGTTTAAGAGGGTGGCCCACCCCGATTCCCCCTAAACATATCCAATTATAGAAATTAATCATTATATATACGTAAATGCACCGTTCAGATGTGGCCCAACTCTTACCAACTTTCGCCCTTAATTTAAAAAAATTATTAACTACATGTGCATATTTAAGATTTAACAATACAGATAAAATTAAGTTAATAATTTTAGTATCGTCTATATTTAAATTTCACCTTGCATAATCCACTGAATGATGAGCATTACCAGATAATATCCTTATTTTGCAGCTTACTGGAACAGATAATTCGATAGAGGCTTGCCGTAATATTCTTCTTAATAAATCCCATTTATCTTGAAGAAAAGCACCATACTGACCTAAACATAATTATTGAATTTAAAACTGTGATAAATAATTTTGCACCTTTAAGAAAAAAGTTTTAATAATAATATTTTAGAACAAACATATATGATTCATTGGGTTTATCATTAACATCTATTGAGTTGTCAGCTATGAAACATCCATTTCTCACTGCATCTTACTTTGCATACATATAATGGAAATGACTACATTGAGATGGGGGGTGTCACATTTTTCTACCTGATTATATGGCTATTTCATTTTATAATTTAGACCACTGTGAGTTTTACATGAAATACACATCAGATACTTGATACTTTTTGAATGCTTTGAAAAAACCTTGTGCAATGAAAAAATGCCAATTGCATGTCATCCCAGTTGAAAAGTTACTAGGATAGAAATTTTTTCAGATGTTTTTACGAAATTTTAAATGTAATAAAAATTGAAAAACAGGTGTTCTGGGCTCTGAGACAAAGTGTGTCTCCCAGAGGGTTTTAAATCTGGTTGATTTTTCAAAAGTCATAGTTGTTTAGTAAATGGCAATGCTCCTGAAAATAGTTCAGCTTGTGTATTTACAAAACATTTTGAATAGTTCAAATGTTGATGATAAAACATGTCAGTGAAAAAAGCTATATAGACCTGGAAAATATGCTTTGGAACAAAATTTGGCCCATAGGCCATAGACTGACATAGAGCATTCAGAATTTGCAAAACATTTCTCAGGCTCAACATATGCAGATAAAATTATATGCACATTGCAGAACTATTTGTTTTAGACTGAGAATGAGTAGAGAAATCAAACATAGAGAAAATATATTTATAATTTTCAATGTTTATTTCAAATTATGTAGCTTTATGAAATATTTATTAAATCATACATACAAAAAGATATTCTAGTTATATAATGCATTTTAGTTATAACTAGAGCAAAGCCAAAATATTTAATTTTGTCCTGGTTAGATCTTCGAAAAAAACATTAAAAATTGTAAAATTTTGATAAGTAGTAAAGTTTACTTGTCAAAATTAGCATTTAACAAACAGTTCTAGTAAATGAAAACTATTTCATTTACTAGAGCCAAATTACTCAAAACAACATTTGGTTTCATTTAGTTTCATACTAGTCAATAAATAAAAACATAATTAGCCAAACTCAAATATGGCTACTTTGCTTATCATAATAACAACCTAGTAACACTTAATGACTGGATATTTCTATTGTATGCTAAAGAAAAGTAGAAACATGCTCTATTTAGTTTTCAATTAAATTTCAAAGAATTTTGTATGAGTCATAATAGTAATATACTAGACATGAAAATGAAGTTAAATGAAAACTTTCACACTATTACAAATATTATAATCATTATAATTTATAAGAACATTGTGCAAACACAGTATAGTGAGAGAGAGAGAGAGAATATAAGATATTCAATGTTACCTCTTCTTGCAATTGCTTGAGGACATCCAATATTTAAATCTACAGCATCACAATATGGTTCTACAAGTTTTGCAGCTGCTACAAATATATCTGGATCATTAGCACTAAACTGAAAAATGTTATAAACAAAATAAGTTATATTTATAAATACTGTAAATATATTTAAATTTTAAAAGATTCATTCTACTAAATGGTTCAAAAATATAAACAGTTGCATCATTTATAGAAAAGTAGCAGGTAAGCCCGGTGCTGCCTGGGCAAAAAATAAAAAAAACAAACGCTAAAGTTATTTTGTACTTCTAACCTTTCTATTATATTATATAGTATTTGATTTATATTCACAAAGGTTATATTACTTAAGGGTTTATCACACTGAGTGACCAATCTAACACATTTAAAAAATTTTTTAAATTGTGTACATTAGAGGAATAAAGAATTTTTAAAATGTGTTAGATTGGTCACCCGGTGTGATAAACCCGTACCTAAGATAACCTTTGACATAATTTATATAATAAATCACAAATACTATAATATAGAAACATTAAAACAAAAACCATATAAAGAGTTTGGTTATTTCAGCCTATCATTGCCATGTTTATTGCAATAATTGGATAGTATGAAATGGCACAAATTCAATGGTTAAGAAGACAGGAATTGAAAATATATCTTAAATTTATCAGATAGCATAATATTTTCTAATGTTAACTCTAAGAAACTGTACCATTCACAGTCAAAAATCAAACCGTAATCTTCCAATAAATCGAATTTCGAAAAAACGGACCAAATATTTAAACTTGGCACCCTCAGAAACCACTTAAATCATATTTTGTGCTGGCTGGTAACCTTATATTATGTAATTTTCTTATTCAAATGCCACCATACTGCTGGTCTGATAGAAAGGAGCCAAAGTTAATTTGAGCAAAAGTAGTCATTGACTTCCTCCCGGAAGAGAGGATGGTCAATGACTCATTAATACTAGTCTACTATTAATATTTGAAAACTGATCCTTTGTTGGATGGGTTGTGATGGCTCTTCATGTGATCAAAGTTGCTAACCCTGATGTCTGAAAGACTTCATATGACTTCTTTAAATAAAAAAATCTTGTAAAAATGCTAGAATAATTGCTTTCATGTGATAATAAATTTTTTAAAATTTTGGAAACATTTTATGAACTATGCAGAAAGTGTGTTCTCATAAATATTGTATTTATGGAAAGATTATTGGGCTGAAATTTGAAAAAGTTGTAAACCTATAAATTCCAACTGTTGTCCACCCATTTGTCTGTCCTTCCTTAATCTTGAGAAAGGACTTAGAATAGATGAAAGACGAGACCAGATATGGAAAGCTTAGGGTAGGAGGAGGCCCAAATTAACTATATACAAACTTCTGGTTTAGAATGGAAGTAATGTTACTTTGATTCAAAATTTTTCTCCAAACAGAGTTAGATATATGACTGATACGTCTTTATTGCTAACAGGAAAAGTATGATGTACAGGGACAAGATCACCACTAAAAGAATTGAGAATATTGTGATAAAAAGTTGCAGTCCAGCATTATGACAATGTCACAATAAATAATTGCTCGTTAGAATTAGTTTGGTTTATTTGCTTACGGCAATATGACGAGTGATCTGCCAATGAGGATGCATCCCGGAAAGTTGTAAAGTTGCCAATGAGGATGTAAAGTTGGCGCAAATGAAGTATTACTAATGTGAAGAAAACCCAGAAGACTCCACTTGGCCATGCATAAACTTCTCATTTAACAAACATTGTTATAAGAGAAGCTTTTGATACTTGTTTTATGCACAGTTTTATGAGGAATTCTCCAAATTGTGTTTCTCTGGCAAGCAATATGATTTTGTAAGATAGTTGTTATGTATATTTTATATGAGATTTTTGAGTCTTTTCTCAATATGTGCAATAAAATTACATATTTTATCATTTTTTAAAACTATTATCCTTATATTTTTCTAGCTTTTATTTTAATTTCATATGAGGGACTCTGTAATTTTGTTTTGCTCAAAACAGTTCTAAGACAAATTAAATTGGGAAATGTTGTTTGTTTTAGAAGTTCAAACAGATAATAGTCACTAAGTGTATGGTTCGAATTGTGTGGCAGGTATTATATGACTTCCCAGTGGTGTTACCTGAATTATCCAAAAGGTAATGTGGCCAACATGAGATCTGGGGCCTTAGTCTTGAGTTTTTCGTGTTACAACTCCCAACGTGTTGAAGGTGTCACGTGGTACCATCTCACACACTGACATCAAATTGGTAGTCTCGAGTTCTAATTCATGTGCTTTCCCATCTCACCATGCGAGTTGCTACTCACATTGAGTCGAGCATGTGAGATCGCTACACGAAAGTAAAAATGGCTGACGGATACGCAATTCTTATCGCTATCGAAGAGTTAGAAAGAGCCGAAAGACGTTGTTTGAGAAGGCAACAAATTTTTCGACCACGAGTAGATGACATTTCTTTTCGTGTCAAGTCAATACTAATAAAAAAAACTTTAATTCATAATTGATAAATGTATACAGCAAATTTTTCTAAAAATAAAAAGTATCTAATTCATCGAAAAAGAGTATTAAAATGATAGTAAATTATATGTATAGATTATTAAAAGCATAGACACTACATTAAGATTATTTATTAATCAGAAGTGTTAAGTTCTGATTAATAAATAATCTTAATAGACAAAACAATTTAAGAAATAGATC